ATGATGATGATGATTGTGATGATGGTGATGATTGATGGTAATGATTGATGATGGATGAATTAACGGTATTTACAAACATTATAGTAAGAATAATTTACCTCAAAGATTGGGATAATTCTCTGAACGGTAACCCGTGTCGCAAACAGGTAGAACATTCTGTGTAATATCTTCTTATAACAATAAACTTAAATCGAAATGACCATACAAATATCTACCTGCGCAGTTTAACTCGTTTCTCAGACTGTTTTATTGGGGTAAATTACTTCATTTAAATCAACAATCGACAGGTCTGAGTTTTCTGGTCAAGAAGGTTACACTTTGAAAAAATATTAATTCCAAACTTTACGTTTGGACTCTATACATGCCTATAATAATTTTGCATACTTTCGCGTTGTAATACATATCCACATTGGTGAAAGTGTCGTGTTGGCGAAAGGCGATTTGTAGATCATTTACAAAATCGCAAGGTATTGAGGATCTTAGATTGAGATTTAGCAGATTTCAAGACGTACCATAGCCAATATAGGCGGCTACATTGTGGAACTATGTGAAGGAGAACTATACTTGGCGGTATGAAATCTGGCATTTTGAAGAAATGTTGTGACGGCGAGCTAGCTACTGACCTCTCATGGCGAGTCAGGGAAACAGCGCCCCACAGAACACGACGAATGTTCCAGGATACACGGTGAATGCCTCCGAGCAGGCGCAAGTACCCGGTGGGTATCATGTAAAAACCTATAAAACGTCAAAAAAACCTATAAGATGTCATCTTGTAAACTAGGTAGTTTTTAGGGCGCAAACAGTCATTCCACGTTTGCTCAATAGGATCGTTGTGAACGTCCATCTAAGAAGGAATCACTCAACTAAACTTTACGCATTATTGGTTGCATATGTTTCGTGAGGCCAAATGGTCCTTGTCTGTACTTTTTATCTCTGAGAAGAATGTTGGTTGAATAGCAAGATCGCATCTGGATGATTATGTGTATTGGTCTGCATGTGTATAAAATCAGTGATATTTGCTGCGTGAGAAAATCATTAGTGAATATGCTGCCAATGAAATATATCTATTGGCTGTGCTCGACGGGCTATTTATATGTTGTGCTTTCTGAAGAGAGGTCATGATCAAAATTATATAACATGAAAAACTGAGGAGAATTACGGGAAAACATCACCGCGCCCGCGTTGTGTGTAATTACTGTTAGCATGTATATGGATAGTAATTTGACAGGGTACAGTGAATATAATTATTTCTTATTTCTCTCATTTGCGCAACTAATTTCTAGCTTTGAATCTCAAATAAGTGTATTTGAGACAAGAATCCAATGTAATTATCATCAACACATACAACTTACAGCTTAGACCTCCAGTAATGCTATATCTGAAGCAGATTTTACATCGCATGAGAGCCAAAGATTGATAACAAGCCTCATGACGTTTAGGCAACACGTACAACTAAGTGCTAAGTTAGTAGCTTGTAGGAAAACCTACATAATGTCAAAAAAATCAGCATAATGTCACTTTTCAAGATACGTGATACCCATGCCGGACCAGCAATAACCTGGCGATGGCTCAATCGACATCTCCGACAGGTGCTGGGCGACGTCCTTGCACGAGAATCTGCTACGGCGGGCATTACGCAAGAGAGGGGATTCTAAGGTAAGAACTGAAGTTACTTGGCGAAGTGATATACACGAAGAGGGCGACGAAGCTCATGACCAGGAGGGTCAACTGAGATGGCGTAATCAAACGGCGGACAAGATTAGCCTTAATTTACTGTCATTTTATTAAGCTGAATGAATGACTGAAACGGTTAGAATTGCAAAAAGAACAACGACCAAACCAAAACGATTCGTTGTAATATGTGTCAAAGGTGATTTCGCTTTGACTTGTATGTCTGGTTCCAAAAGCTCACACTGCTCTTCCAAAAAATTGAGTTACCACTTTAGAGTAATGTCGTGAAATTCAAGACCTTTAAAACTCTGTTGAGATGAAGTATAGAACCAATAGAGTCGATAAATAACATGTCCCAATGATCTGTGGGCATTCCAAGAATAGTTAAAGATCGATTATGTAGATTGAATGTATCAAGGAATTTTCTAAGCTGAAGAATATGTGTATACCTGCTTTGATTAATGGCAATTCTCTCAAATCTTTAATATGTTCCGCAGCATCACCTTTCAGACCACCCTTGAGACATTGAAATTTCTGTAAATCTGACAGTGTGCGATTGTTATCGATTGGAGTGTGGAAGCTTCCAGAAAAGTACGTCCACTGAGTATTGTCCATCAAAATACGGTAAATCAATGAGTGGAAGCTGCACTTCATTAGTGATTTCTCGCGGAGTGCAAATGGCAAAGTCGCTGTCATGCGAGGCCGCATTACCGAATTTGCAGAATGCGTGAGAGTTGCATTTGCCTCTTGAGGATTCAAATCATGAATTAAACTAGGAGCATGCGATATGGTTTCATAATAAGTAGTTTCAAACGGTAACGTTCTATATCGTCGCTTTGTGCCTATGAAAGATCATCTATCTTTAACTGAATTGCTTCGAATTTCTCAATCAATGAAGTTATGTGTGGTAACCGAGTCTCAATATCGGAATGAGATTGTACAGAGAGATTAAAATTTTAAAGCATAAATGCAGAGTTTCAATTTCAGCGATTTCGTCGATTTAGTCATTATATACACACAAAGGGATGAATGTAAACGAAGCAATACAATAAAGAGATTGTTGGGATACTATAAAAGGAAAATATGGTGAAAAACCTACAGCTTTCCTTACGTACGGATGTTTGTACCAGTGCACCTGACCTGTATGCTTGGTATCCCTGTTCTGACCCACCTGGCGTTTTTTGTGCGTATGATGAACCTGATGCTTCGAGTGCTTCTATCAATGCTTCTAGACGATATGCTTGAATTGGATACTTGCTGTGTGTGAGTTTTGGCGTGTTTTTTAGTCAACCATTCACTTTCTTCGTATATGAGTGTCTCTACCAAGGTTTCCAGAAGCTATGCTTCACTTGAATTCTTGCTATATGTGTCCTTGACGTGTTTTTTAGCCAAGCATATACCTCTACTGGTTTCACCACCGTTGTCTGGAAATCCGGTTCGCCAAGTACCAAAAGGATTATGTTGGATGTTATAAGCAGTCGACACACCAAGTTTTGTAAGCCCTTACAAAATAAAAAATAAAAAAAATGTTTCGGTAAGTTTAAATGGTATTTGCGAGAGGAAGACTTTGTTTTAATTTTAACCATGATTGGGACATGTTTATACTCAAAAATGTGACCTTTTAATTTTTTCACAAATTTGAACCTTTGTAGCAAGGAAACGGTATGCTAGAATGTAATTCAGCTTCGACAGCTCAGCTAAAAAATGTCGAACCAAGGTTTTAAAAAAATGTCTCAGTTGCAAAAAAAAATTGTCACGATGTTTCTTCAAATTACGTGGAACATGTAGCTTTGAAAGTTTTCTTGTTAGGAGATCTTAAAATTAGGAGCTTCAACATGCTCTTTCTAAAACCACGATACGACCAGTTTTCACATTCTGAAAAATCACCAAAAATTTGGAAAAAATGTTTGTACTTCTAATTTTTTCCATTAGTGTACGAGTGATTGACCGATCTTTTTGATTTTTTTATTCAAATATAATTACAATTTTATATTATCACCCTCAAATTAACTTTCTTTTGAAGCTACACAGCGCTGGAGACGTTCTTCCACTCCTTATAACCGTGCTGGAATAACCTTCAACTGGTCGGTTACAGTCATTTGATTGTTTACGACTATCCCAAGGTGATTTTTCAACTTTGGCAAAGGAAAAAGTCACAAGAACTGAAGTCAGGCGACTCAAGAGGCTCAGGAGCCACCGGAATGTTTTTACCTGGCCAAAAACTCACTTATTGACACTGCTGTGTGACAAGGAGCATTATCATGATGCATCATCCAGCTGTTCTTGACATGATAGACGGTGATGTGAGTCAAATTTAACTCTTCTCCGATCATTCTGACTGTCAACCGACGATCTGAACGCTTGTGCGATATTTTCATCGGTTCTTGAATATGAGGGTCTCCCACTTCATGGTTCATCTTCAATCGACTCTCTTCCTTCTGAAAATGCCTTAAGCCACCGAAAAAGCTGGGCTTGACAAAATACTACTCTGTAGGCCTGCTGAACTTTAGCAAGTGTTTCCGTTGCACTGTTCCCAGATCTGAAGCAAAACCTGATAGCACACCGCCATTCATTTTTATAACACATAGGAAAAACTGTTTCACAAAAAAATCGTTACTGCTAACCAAATGACTCGAGCGAGTTCAAACTTGTACTGAAGGCGGATCACATGTTTCTCTATCTCCCCTTTAAGCCCGGTGCGTCTAGTGTTATCAAATCGAACGCTACGTTGCCAGTCTCATTACTTAGTGTACAGACCTCGTATTAGCACCCACTGTAAAAATATAGTCCCTGTGATAACATATTCATGATAAGGAATTTGAGTAAGCTCTTTAGACTAGAAATGATATTGTTTTCTTCAAAAGCGGCTCGATTTGTCGATGACAGAGTACATTTTTTCTAGCTAAGGGACGTTACTTTCAATAACCGTTGTGCCATTATTTTACAGGATGCAAGAAGTTAATAATATTGTAATAGGGCCCTAACGATCTAGATGAGTTAATTGTTATCTGTTATTGTCATGCGGTTGTATCTCCATAAAAGTACCTCTTAGGACATCACGTTATGTTTGTGTGTATATGAATCTGAGAGATTAACCACGTGCTCTGGGATAACTTTTGTATTATTTTCCATACTATATTGAGCTTATCTTTTAGTACCTAATATATGTTTGAAAATGGCAATAGCCAGCAATCGCCACCATAGTGATATTCGTTCCGTTAATATAGGAAATCTGCAAATATAGCAATCAGTAAAATATCTCTATAGCAAGGATCTATAAAAATAGATTTCCCTAACATCATATGGAATAAAAAACAGAATCTGCTCACCTAAAATATGATGTTTGGCCTCATGATTACTAATAGACGTATTTGCTATGCCAGCAGCCCCATTGCCCATAATCCTGTCCAGGACGTAGTACTTCGCCTCATGTTCTGTCTGGGGCTGTCAGTCTCTTTCTCGACGGTATCGATGACGTCATCAAGCGTGACGGGAGGAGAGGTGGATGACGTTTTCGGGTTGGACAACACGTATGTGATGGCATACACTAAGAAGACGGTGATCTGAAGGTATTTGTGCCGACGTATGCATCTCATATCTGATAGTGCTGGAAAACGAAATTGAAAATAGGTTGATGTTGACGGTCTTCTTAACATAACTCCTTCAACTTCTCCCGCATTTATCATATTAATTCATCTCCATGCTCTACTGGTGCTTAATTAATGAAACCATAGATGTAGATATAAAAAATTTAAAAAGGCCACCGAGGGTGTGGAACACCAATCCATCTACGTGGTTTTGTTTAACGGCCAGTAGAACATAGATATACAGGTATGAAATACGAATGACATAAATCCCCTTTTACTACAAATTGAAATCATAGAATCTGTATTTAACTATTGAAACATGTTTCGCAAGGCAGGATGTTGTACCCCGGTCTCCCTATTGCCAAGAATGGAATGGAACTTCCTTAACCCACAGCCAATAGCTCGCTTGGGGCTGAAAACTTCTTCTGGTGCCTTTTTGATGCCGAATCCCCATCCTTGACTGGAGGCCTATATTATTGAAGTCTGCTATCCTCCTCTGTGTTGGCAAATTCATCTCCTTCCAGCTGCGAGCCTATTTTTGGCTAGTGCAAGGTACTCCTTGCAGATGGATGGTGACAAATTTGATGTTTGGTCAGCCCTTGCTCTTCAGGAAGCGAGGAGTTGGGGGTTTGGCAGATCTGCTAGGATCAGTTGGTAGAGATGTTCTAGTCTGCAACGAGATTACAAGTTCGATGATCGGAAAAGTGCAACACCGGGAGTTGGGAGGTGAAAAATCCGATTTCATATAAATTTCGGGGGTGTGTTCGTGCAGCCTTAATGAACCACAATTGATACACAAATTAACAAATTGAACGACAGAAACTCCGGGAGTTATAAAGGAATAGAGCTATAGAAAGGTAGAGGTAATTTTGAGTTTCTATAACCTTGTTTGTGCCAGATGCGGAAGTTCCGGAATTTGAAGTGTATGAGCTTGGGGAGAAGTTTGGGAGTTGGAAGTCTACCTCTAACAAAACTCCAGGTACTCGTTTAGAAGGACGGAAGAACTTTAATCTGCACCACACACTAGACGCAATTGGGACTAGATTACCCACGGTATATGTATAAATGCACACGTATACTGGATAGCCGCGCTATAGCAATATGTCGGAGCAATCTCCATACACAACAATCCAGAAATAAATTTGTTCCGTAAGAATATTCACTTTGTTCCGTCTTAAGAGGAGAAAATATTTTTGTTTTAAGGGCAAATGTTTGGGCAAATATGTATGTATAAAATATGTCTTATAGTTGCGTAGAATTAACGGGTTGGAAGTATAAAAATAACATTAACATCAAAACATTGCGATACATCTCGCTCCACCCCCTTCAATCCCCCACCCCCAATTTTTTAACCTTAATTTTTTGTCAAAAATGATCAGGACCCTCTGAAATTTCAAAAAAAGAAGTTTGAACAATTTCTATCTTTTTCGTTTTTTCAGTTATTTTCCGCCGCCAGTGGACTGATTTTCAAAAACTACAAAGCTTTTTCGTCCTTGTCATAGTAGTAACCTTGTATGAAAATTTCATCAAAATCCAGGCGGTACTACAATTTAATGTTTTCAAAACACAGTACCTTATTTAACAAGAAATGTAGTAGCGCTCATCCGACGAGGATTGATAGCCGAGTTCTACCAAAGAGCCGTTTATTTTGGCTGATCGGAGTCCAGATCACCTTGAACTTGTTCTAGCAATAACATATTTTATCGATAACGGCATCTGCTGGGAAAAACCTAGGATACTTGGCTAAAAAGAACTTTTCTCTACATAACCTGCTAACTCTGTACAAGGCCCAGATAAGAACTATCCTCGAGTACTGCTCACATGTTTGAGTTGCTGCATCTCCGACTACATTATCCATGCTCGATGCTGCTTAGAGAAGGGTATCCGACTGATCGATGACTCTTTTCTAACAGACAGTTAATTAAATAAGATTTAGGGACTGGAAGTTTTGTGGTTGATAGCTTCCCAGTAAGATTCAATCCCCAAACCTAAAATCTGAATCTTTCAAGATTTTATCCCATTTGGCTGTTCCACATATCTGCCTGTTATGAACGAAGTTCGCAGGATGATGGGCAACTTCATTGTACCACCTCTGCCTTGTTTAATAAAATAAACATGAATGCGTGGAAAGTCCAACTCTTAACACCAACATTTTCTGATGAATAATGCATCTTGCATCAGAAACCAGTGGCCTTATGTCTTGAGATCCAACAACCAACTGCGAAACGTGTAACAGAAGTAGCCTCCAAGCATAGGGTATGTCTATTTCTGTTGCACTGAGGTGCCTCGAAGTCTAGCCAACAACCGTTGCGACGTGGATGGGGCTGACTGGGAGGTTGGACGTTGGAGGGAGGCCAGTTTGGTGTTTGATAATCTAGTAAAATAAGTCAAAAAAATTATCCAGGCAAATTAACGTTTTAAGCGAGGTCAACTGGCCTTAGCTCTCATTCATCAAACAGCTTTTTACAAAAATAAAAGTTGTGTAGCTTTTTATTACTGACTTACCTACTCATACCAAGCCGACGTCAATCGATCAATTAATAAAATACTGAAAAAACGGCCTTAAAACATTCTGCTTTCAACGGAACATTGAAATACAATGTTCGTGGATCATTTTCAGATTGCTTATATCTACTTCAAACACATATTTCAATGAAACAAACAAAGACTGAAAATATTATACAGTACGGTAGGATGAGCAGGAAGAGGTATGTTTTCAAAAAAAAATTCAGACCCATTTATTCTCATGCTTGTGTTAGCCATACTATAAAATAACTATTTCTTTTTATGGTAGTTATCAACATTTTTCTTGAAATTTAACTGTTATGATTGAAGTTTGGCTTAGCGAAATCTACATTTTAAAGAAGTAAGTCATGAATGGAAAGTTTTCAAAATACGCATACATGCTGCCAATTTTTCTGAATAAATACTTGCGCTACAACAGATGTATAATCTTAACTGCGTTGTGAGTTCTTTTTTACGTATATGCGACGCTCCGACCTAAGTCTATAGCATAGGCTCACGTAGAACCAAATTACGAACTTCCCTCGTCGTTGCGATTTAGCAGCCTGGAAGGAATATAGTTTGTATTTCTTTGTATTCGGTATTTTTCAAGAATTGTTATAAATGATGTAATAAATATTTATTTTGTGCTAAAAACGTAACAAAACGAGTTTCTTTCTTTTAGTGGTCCTTAATAGGTTAAGTAGATCCGCGTCTTGATCATAGTGTAGTACACTTACAGGAATCATTACGGTCGCAATGTATAACAAATAAGTCGACAAGAGAAATGTAGTTTTTTGAATTTTCACTTTCTTTTTGCTGTCTGGCAATGAAAATATTTCATAGTGGTAAACATTTTTTTTAAACTCCAACTACCACGAAGGCCCAAGGCCTAAATACCCATGGGATACCCCGGGGCCGTAGAGACACGGTTGAGAACACGTCATGTCAAGAAGAATCGCAAGCTTAGTCTTCCAAGTCTGCGTATTAGTGTCCGTACACATACTAAAATGGTGTTGGGTACATATATTTTTGCTCGTCGTCTTGTTATTACACTATATACAAGTGCGATACGCTTTTTGTTTTTAAAACCAGGACAGAAAAATAAAGTATGTTTGCTCAAAATATCGAATGCAGCCTTGTCTAGATCATCCTTCAATTCAATGCATACAGTGCAAACCTTTAGATATTTCACACTTCAAAGATTTCTCTGTACATCAGCCCTGAAAACTAATAAAATATTCTCGGCAGACGGATCGCGTACCTATCGGCCACGGCTGCTGCTGGTGTCGTGCGCTGACAGTGATGAGTGTTCTGGTATTGAATCAAATTATCACACGTATTTCTGCAGTGCAACACCCATAGTGTTTTTTACTGCTCTGACCGCGCTAGTATGGTGCCACGTCTGCTCGAGCTAAGTATGGGGGAGACACGACGTTCCCAGATGGACTACCGGTAGAGCAGGCAAAGAATGTCTATGGACTAATTGTATGAACCTGTTTAACTGACATTTTTCTCAGATGGTCGAGTTTGTGCTAAACGTCATCCTTTATGAACTGATACGGGCGTTGCGTGGGGAGTGCAGAGTCAGCCTACTTGGAGCCATTTTTTTCAATTTCACGAAAATTGCAAGCAAAATGTAACGTTTTTCTCTGATAAAAATTTAGTTAACTGTACTGATGTAACATACTGGGGTTCACGTAACCCCTATGAAGGAGATTTGTCATCTTTTAATAGTGTAAGGTCCTAGGGTTAATTTTGGTTCAAATAGAACAGAACCTAAAATTCGAAAACTCACTTTTCAATAGAAATAGTTAGTTACGGGCATATCAATTCTAAAGACAGTAAACACGTTCCAAAATACTTTTTATCTTTGGTTAGCATTGCTTGCCTTCGTTTCGCTCGGGTTACCTATCATTTTTCTTGAGCTCGAATCCACTTTCCTCCTTTTTACGGATTTTCCCACTATTTATCTTCCCTATCTTTCTCCGCATGATCCTTTCTCTCTGTAGATCATTTGGGCTTGAAGTACCACAGCAAGTGGCTATAACCGGCAGCGAGGTTATGGTTAGATGTCGCTCTGAAAATTCGAGGTGTTCTAGTCATTTTATATGTAGGTTGGTTCTTATTGTGGACTTCGTGTGTATTCGTAATTATTTTCCCTCTCCATATTCGTTTCCTCAGGTTATACTCGTATTCGGATGTATGTGCATATGCGTATCTACTTTCGTAGTTGCATATGTACCTTCATTTCGGGCCTGATGAAGCCAACAAGCAGAAATACGTACCGCTCGGGTTAGCTATCCTATT